TTTCTTGCAAAGCTTGTAGAAGACTGTAATTTTTATCATAGGTACTCTTAGACTGTGAGTGATGGAATCTTAAACAAAAATCCAGAAAAATACAATGTATGATTTTTAAATAGTTAATTTCCATTTTATTGTTTGAAATAAGTATTTGATACACCAGAACAATGAAACTTAATATTTGGAACAGAAACCTTTGTTTACAATTAGAGATCAGACGTTTCCTGTAGTTCTAGACCAGATTTGCACACACTGCAGCAGGGATTTTGGCCCACTCCTCCATACAGATCTCCTCCAGAGCCTTCAGGTTTCGGGGCTGTCGCTGGGCCACACGGAGTTTAAGCTCCCTCCAAAGATTTTCTATTGGATTCAGGTCTGGAGACTGGCTAGGCCACTCCAGGACCTTAAGATGTTTCCTACGAAGCCACTCTTTAGTTGCCCTGGCTGTGTGTTTTGGGTTGTTATCATTCTGGAAGACCCAGCCACGACCCATCTTAAGTGCTCTTACTGAGGGAAGGAGGTTGTTGGCCAAAATCTCACGATACATGACCCCATCCATCCTTCCCACAATATGGTGCAGTCGTCCTGTCCCCTTTGCAGAAAAGCATCCCCAAAGAATGATGTTTCCACCGCCATGCTTCACGGTTGGGATGGTGTTCTTGGGGTTGTACTCATCATTCTTCTTCCTCCAAACATGACGAGTGGAGTTAAAACCAAAAAGTTCTATTTTTGTCTCATCAGACCACATGACCTTCTCCCATTCCTCCTCTGGATCATTCAGATGGTCATTTGCAAACATCAGACGGACTTTGACATGCGTTGGCTTGAGGAAGGGCACCTTGCGTGCACTGCAGGATTTTAATCCTTGACGGCGTAGAGTGTTACTGATTGTTTTCTTTGAGACTGTGGTCCCAGCTCTATTCAGGTCATTGACCAGGTCCTGCAGTGTAGTTCTGGGCTCATTCCTCACCTTCCTCAAGATCAATGATGCTCCACGAGGTGAGATCTTGCATGGCGCCCCAGACCGAGAGAGATTTTCCGTTATTTTGTATTTCTTCCATTTTCTAATAATTTCACCAACTGTTATTGCCTTCTCACCAAGCTGCTTGCCTATTGTCCTGTAGCCCATCCCAGCCTTGTGCAGGTCTACAATTTTATTCCTGATGTCCTTACACAGCTCTCTGGTCTTGGGCATTGTGGAGATGCTGGAGTGTGATTGATTGAGTGTGTGGACAGGTGTCTTTTATACAGGTAACGAGTTCAAACAGGTGCAGTTAATACAGGTAATGAGTGGAGAACAGGAGGGCTTCTTAAAGAAGAACTAACATGTCTGTGAGAGCCAAAATTCTTACTGGTTGATAGATGATCAAATACTTTTTTCACACAATAAAATGGAAATTAATAATTTAAAAATCATACATTGTATTTTTCTTGATTTTTGTTTTAGATTCCATCACTCACTGTTGAAGAGTACCTATGATAAAAATTAGTCTTCTACAAGCTTTGCAAGTGGGAAAACCTGAAAAATCAACAGTGTATCAAATACTTGTTCTCCCCACTGTATGTAGGAAGTCAGCATTTGCTGCATCTACCAGGGGATGTGTTGTAGTCTGTGATCATCCGAATGCCTTCCCACATCCTCCTGGTGTGGAGAAGATCCTGGATCTTCTGGCTGTGGTTCTGCTTCGCTGATCTGATGGCATGGTTTCAGTTGGCACGCTCTGTTTTCAATGTCTCTTTATCACTGGACTTGAAAGCTGAGATCTTGATTGCTGAACCTCTCCATTTATCCAGGGTGGTTGGTTGGCCCGGGTGGTGATGTTCTTTTTGATTCTGATGTCCTCAATGCATTTGTTGATGTAGGCTGACACAGTCATGGCATACTCATCATTATTTAATAAGTTGTCATAGGTTGCTGCAGCCTTGTGCTTTTGTCTTTCGTAAAATACCTTCAGATAGTCCAATGGTGAGGCTGTCATGGTAACTGTTGCCAACCTCTCGTTTAGAGGGGAACTGCTTAATAGGTCAAATATCCCTATCTCACAGTGTTGGAGAATCTTTAAAAAAATCCAGTATTCATATTACGATCCGGATCATCACCAAAATTGTATGGATTGTTCGTTGACATGAGGGACACCTGATAAAATGCCTGTACACAGACAGACACACACAAACTAAAAAGATCACTTCCAAAGTGGAGGTAATTATTACAGAGTAAGAAAGGTTAAACTAAACAGCACATATTATTTTACCTGCTGATGCAGCAGAATTAGTGCCTTTTTGATGGTTTGCTTCTTCTAGATAATCTTAAACTAGTGTTGTACCATTGCATCAGTCGCTGCAGAGCTTGGACTGCTGCCATGGTAACAGCAGCTTCCTGTTGCGGTAGTGCGAGGAAAGTAGGGATGGAAAGATTTTTTAAAACCGTCCGAACCGTTCGGTTCGACTGTCTCGGTTCGGTTCGCGTGTGTTGCGTTCGGTTCATGCGCGGCTCCATTTTCTCATAGGCGAAGCGTGTACACTCCAGAGCAGACCGTGGCGGTACTGCGACCAAAGCCAACCACCAGTAGTAAACAAGAAGAAGAAGAAGAAGCGAAGCAGCGTAGCCGGGTGCAGCAGAAAAAAATCAGTTGTTGTGGAGAATTGTGTCGGAATGGCGAGTGGGAAAGAACTGGGGTTGGAAGACGCGCCAGCAGCACTTTATAGCTCTGCTGTATGGGACCACTTTGCATTTAGAGTGACCTACGATGACGGCGGAAAGAAAGTTGTGGATAAAAGTGCAACAGTGTGCAAGCATTGTGCAACACGGTTTGTTTATGCTAACAGCAACACGACCAACATGTCAGGCTAACCCCGAAATCCCTCATACTCCGTCAATGCTCCGCTCCGCTCCAGACCGCCTGCACAAAGCAAAGCCTACAGTCTCCACTGTGGCTCCCGTCCGCTCCGCTCTGAGTTCCTCGGAGATCGTAGAGGGCATGCGCGAGATGATTAAATTCATAGCAGCAAAACATGCGGAAATGATCCATGGTTTCCGCGGATCATTAAAAATAATTCATTAATTTTTGTCTATTTTTTTTTTATTAATTTTTATGGGATTTCGGGGTAACAATAAACATATACCGAACCGAACCGAAAACCGTGACCACAAAACCGTGAACCGAATCGAACCGTGGATTTTGTGATTTTGTGAACTGTTCCACCCCTAGAGGAAAGGCTATCTCTAAAGCAGAGGATATAGTTGTACCCTTTAGCTCAAAGAGAAGGACTCAGCTCAGCTTTGACAATGCTTCAAAGTATAGTGAGTAGGGGGAGGGAGTAGCCACTGATTGGGAACGACCAATTGCCTCAAGAGGTGGGATTTCCTGAAAAGTAGCCAATCACAGGTCGTTTGCTTTCTCTGCTTGGTTTCACCCTCAAAGTGACAAAAGTTGAAATGAGAGCGCAGAAATGGGTCGCACACAAGTAGGAGAGAATTTACAGGTGCATAAAAACAAGCGCAGAGAAGGAACATGGAGTCATTCTTGGGTGCAATTCTTGCCATAATTAAGTAACATAAGTGGAAGTAGTTTATCTTACAGCAGGATTAGGATGGTTTGAAAGGAAATGTATCCATTTTCCTGTATAGGAATGATCTATTCAAGCCCAGATCCAATGGAGAAATCTGGGCTGTCAGTGAGAGGTGGCACTCTGCAGTGCTGGGGCCCCCCAGGGCACCGTTCTGTCTCCGTTTATCTTCACCCTCTACACCTCAGACTTCACCTCCAACATGGACAGCTGCCATCTTCAGAAGTTCTCAGATGACTAGGCCATTGTAGGCTGTTTCTGAGGAGAACGAGCTGTAGTATCGATCTGGTGTGAGAAGGTCCACCTGTGTCTTAACACCAGTAAGACTTAGGGGATGGTGATAGACTCCAGAAGACCGTCAGGACATAGAAACTGTGGAGAGTTTCATATACCTGGGAGTTCACCTCAATGATAATCTGGACTGGTCTTATAACACTGATAGCTTGTATAAGAAGGTTCAGAGCTGCCCCCAGCTCCTGAGGAGGCTGAGGTCCTTAGGAGTGAGCAGGTCCCTGCTTAAAACCTTCTATGACTCTGGACTCAGTGGAGGAAGTGGCTGAGAGGAGGGTGCTGTCCAAGCTTACATCCATCATGGACAACACCTTTCACCCTCTGCACCAGAGTGTAGAAGAGTTGAGCTTTTAATGAAAGACATTTACACTGCTTTTTGACTATTGAGCCAATATAATGAGTAAATTTCTCCACTGTAAGATCAATAAATCAATCAGTCGAAACTGTTGTAAACTGGAGTCCATCTAATTTTACAAGGCTTATTCTTTCCTGCTGAGAATAGTCGTAAATAAATGCTGTACATAGTAATGATGTGCAGGCAGGCCTTTTAGATTTTCACATGAAAATAATTTTAAAAACCATGTATCATTTTTCTCCCATTTTCCAATTATGCACCACTTAGTGTCGGTCTGTCACACAAAATCCCAATAAACACATTAAAACCTGTGGTTGTAACTGTCAAAATAAGCCAATGTTAGAATAATGCTGACTCTCCTCCGTTTATAGAAATATAGTCTGGTTAGAACTTGTTATCACATATAAAGTCTAAAATTCTACCAGGAAAAATGTAATAACAGCTCAGGATCAGCCAATGTAAGAGGGGCTGGAGAACCGCTAGAACATTTGTGCGAAACCAAGAGTGCGGTGCATCTTGCTTCATCATTCAATGACACAACAGACCAGCTACTGAGTGAGATAGCCACAGGTATGTGGGAGTTATAATACTGAAAGCTAATGAAGGTGATTACAGTGCCAGAAAAAGCTCTAATTTCAGCACAGCTAGATGGGACTGTATCCATTTTTACATTTCTGGTCAAATTGTGAACATCGGAGTGGTTTTTCTTCCAGCAGCAGCTTCATTAAAATGCTTTCTCACAGATCTGTCTTTAATTAGCACTTGAACTGATTTGGTTATTCATCTTTTCCAGACCCAAACTGTGTCCAAAAAGAGCCAGTTCCTCCACCTCCGGCAACTCTGAGGTATAGAAACAACTTCAGTTTAACACAAAGAGAAATGTTTTTTCTTCTTTTTTTTTTAATCCCTCACAATGTCCTTTATGCTAAATATGATCCTTTTACAAAATTTGGGCTGAAGATACACAAAGAATAGAATAAACAGTTAGTTTTCCTTAGTTGAACTGCGTGGAAAACATAACCAGACTGTTAAATCCATAAAATTGGAGTCAGGGGCTCCATATTAAGTGCTGATTATAAGAGACTCCATAGGGAGTGAGAGGCGGACCTTGTCCTGTTTAAATCTCTGACATCAAGGCGCCTGTTGTTTTCCTTTTCCATAGCAGTGCGTGTAGTGAAAGAATTTGTGGGATGCCTATGAGTCTGGCAGGGCATTTGAAAAGATTTTGAGATTACTTGCTATTGACAAGTCTATTTCTCCTTATAAGCTAATTTTTTCCTGTGCGGTTTTCAAGTCTTGTTTATCTAAAGTCTGTGTTTATAAAGGGGATCATATGTTGGTTTGAAGATATCCAATTTTCCTAGATCATCCCTGTTTGTTTTTACCACATGAGACTTCTCCCCTACCTGCACCCTTGTCTCTGCTTTCTTATTCACTGGTCAGACATTCCTCTAAAACGGAGGTTTATCTGGGATCACTGAACATTTTTTTTTAAATATTTCACTACTGCCTACACTGCTGCTTTCTGTAGATCTAACTCATGCACTCCCCACTGAGCTGAACCAACTCGGGTTCACTCCAGGTCACAGATTTACAACAAAGGCTGTTTGGTAATATTTGTAAGGCCAGCTTTAAAGCCTTATTATCTTTACCTGTTTTCTTTAAGTGACAATTATACTTAGATTTGTTTCGCTGTTCAACTTTTAAGGTCAAAGGAGAATACAACAAACCAATTAAAATATATAAAATAACTACATAAAACGTGTATTCTTTTTATGTTCTACCGTATTTAAAGTTAAATATTATAATTTTATGGAGTGAATTTTGTTTCATTATTGTTGCAAAGAACAGCTTTTGAAACAAAAATACTATTCAGAAACTGAGCTTTGTAGAACTTTTTATTTAAAAAAGGATTTGATAGCAACTTTGCAGATTTTATATTTTTTTCTGATTACTGTATTTTATTTTATATTTTTTCATAGTTGTTTTTTGATTTTCTCTTGTTCAGATTAAATTTTATGAATTGCATTCTTTTCAAATTGTGTTTTACAATTTAAAAAGAAGGGCTTTCCTTTAGAGTAAGGAGCCAAGATGCATTACTATTGGTCTAATGGATGTTGGCAACAGCATTTCTATTTATCAATGTGGGCTTAAAGTGAAGAGAATTTGATTGTTAAAACACAACTTGAAAAGAACCCAATTATGTGGTGCGGTAGTGGTGCAGGGGTTAAGTGTGCAACCCATGTGCAGAGACTTTGGTCCTCTAATGCAGCCCTCGCAGGTTTGAGTCCTGGCCTGTTGACCTTTGCTTCACGTCTTCCCCCACTCTCTAATCCTATTTCCTGTCTGCTTACATAGAAAAATAAAACTGATAAAATAAAGCCCACTAGAGACTATCAAATCAGAAAAGAGCGGGATTTGTAAGAAGCTTAAAGGTGTTGTGGTGGATTTTAGCGAATTTTTCAAAAGATCCGCCCTCTCCAATTCTAAAAAAGTGTACGTGCGAGAGCATGCACAAGCCCATTTCTCCTCGTAAACGGCCTGTTTAAAATGTGCTGTTCTCATAGCTCATATAAGCTTATTTTGACCACATACAGCAGGGACGTTATAGTAAACTCAGTTAACTGACCATTCGGACAGATGATCACTGCTTTTTGCTCCGTTGGTCACGTAACTTCTCCTCCACTGCGCGGTGCCTTTTTTATGAGTCGCCGCTGTCGGGTAGCTACCATGATGCTTTGCAAGGAGAGCTCTCCCAATGATCTCTATTTATTCACTGGAATGTTGATTGCCTGAAAAAGTGAAGCCGGCGTCAGTCATGCTGGTACTCCCCACTCCCATGGAGACGGGCAGTAAAAAATCCCTACATGTGTAGCATCTGGCTGCAAAAACAAGCAGTTGCTGGCGTTGGGAAGTCGTTCCACATCATTCCACAGTCGTTTCACAGTCAGTGGATGTACTAACCAAGGAAATCCATATATAGGCTGATGTATCGTATAGTATAGAATGTAGCGTAACATTAGTCTGGCTATCTCAGACTGATTTAAAGACATTGACTGAGTTATCCATTGACAATGTGTCTGACGTTAGAGAATAGTAAGTAAATAGAAAGTAATTAATTGTGAAATGTAAATGTAGCAACTCTTTATTGAGTGGATGATATCGCATTCCTGTAGTGTTTGTTGTATATCTCATTTTAAAAAGTTATGTAAATAAATAAATATATATATATATATATATATATATATATATATATATATATATATATATATATATATATATATATATATATATATATATATATTTTTTTTTTTTTTTTTTTTTTTTTTTTGCATGTTATATTGAGGGGAAAAATTTTACCTATATACTTATATACCTATATATAAAATATAAAAAGTTTCATTTCTTAGTTTCCTTTTTTTTCTCTAGATTTCCATTTACAAAACATGTTTTTTGCAATAATACTGGGAAAAAAACTCCCTCTGTAGTCTTCCGGATCATAATCTAAATTCTGACAAATTATCTAAAATAATTAAGCTTAGCCATGCAAGACGACGAGGTTAATTCCAAATGATGTTAAATCATTCTGAGGACCATAGAAAAGCTGTTTATTTACAATCTCTACTACAGAACAGTCAACTGTGATCTCAGATCAGACGAGTCAACTCACTGAATTTAGAGCCCAGCGTGGAATCGCTGTCAGGCTGGCGGGCGTTGACTGCTGGAGTCAAATTAAACTAAACCAAGACTAAAGGCAAATTTATACTTCTGACGCATAGCCTCTGCTACTGTCAAATCTGTCTCTGTGCGCAACCATGCCCCCCGCGCAGAGGTTCTGCAACCGTCGTCGCACACCTAAAAAAAATCCTGACTATGCATTGGACGGTCACAAACCCGTGCAGACCTCAAACGGAAGTGCGCAGACTAAAAACAGCTGTGATTGGTCCTTGGTATGCCTTTCCGGCTGTCTGTGCACTCATCCTTCTCGATTCGGTGCCGGGGCGTGCCACACCCAGGAGTAATAACAACAATGGATAACCACGAAGAAAGTTTAATCGAGGAGGTTCGGAAGTACAACAACTTGTACGATGCCTCAGACGTGTTGTTTTGGAAAATAAACACTCCCGCTGGCACAGCCGGAGAAGTTCTCGAATAGGCTCCCCCTAGCGCTTTGGCGGGAAACTGCTATGTTTCCCTAGAAATTCCAGACTGACGTTGCAGAAGCATACCAGAAAAACTGGTTCACAACCAGATGCAAGCGACATTTGATGTATAATCCGCCCTTAAGAAGATCCTTAAGACACTGAGGGAGGAGAGACCCAGACCAAAACAATGACAGATAGTTTTCAAGACTGTTGCTAAACTCATAACAAAGTAGTTGCTGCTTGAATAATCTGTGACATTTTATCAGCAAGTTAATGCATAACAGAGCTTTTGATTGATAGAAGTGTAAGAGTTGCATTAATTGAAACTTTTAACTAATCAATCCCGGTGAGATAATGGAGCAGCCATCTGTGATGAATTCCAATAGGTTGTTGAAGAATAGAAATAATCTGGCAGTGTGTATCTATATGTAGTAGTCTGTAATTCTTCAACAATACGACAAGTAGCTGGTGTCTGGCTGTGAATTAGTTTCCTGCAATGTCAAAACAGCTGAGGGGTGCTCTACGGACGACTAAATATGTTTACAATAAAGAGCATGAATTATTTTGAGACTGCTGAAGTCATTTAAAGTGGTCTTTGACTTAAGGAAACAACTCGTAATGTGACGTTGCCCATGTTTAATTTGGTTATTGCAAGCTGCTACTACATTCTTTATTTTGCCAATGAATATGGTGCACTGCAGAACTGTTAATCATTGCTGCTTTTGTCAAGCTGTCTTTAGCATCTTTTTTAGCTCAGTATAGTTATTACTACTTCTGGCATTCGCTTGTGTAAACGTCAGATATAAATGTGGAGTCAATCCATAAATGGTTAGATGCTGAATACTCAGAGGACAGTTGCTTTATTTTATCCTTCTAAGATTTACTGTTATGTTTTGAAATTAACTAAATTTCCTTTATTGTGTAATTGCTCCTTTCCTTAAATCCCAAAACTGTCTCAAAGATGGCTATGAATTGATGTTCCGTTGATGCATCCTTTTTTGAATTAAAGGCAAAGGAGCAAAATAAACAGCGACCAGCAAAGGTGATTCGTTATAGTATCCACACCGAAGAGTGTTATGATGAGTGTTTCCTGCTAGCTGTAATGTATGGCATGTTCAAAATAAAAATAAATCTTATTTTTCGTGTTTCCAACTGGACAGCCACTGGTCAGGGCAGGTCAGGTTAAAATTGCCAGGTTATTTATTGCACAGACTACCCATTATTTTATTTTTTTTGTGAAGGAACAAAAAAAAAAAAAGAAAACACACATTACTGAAGTGGCTTTTGGAATTAAAATGAAAAATGTCTAATAATCTGTGTGAATTGTGTTTTAGATTGCAGAGGGAGCCCAGAGCACAGCTGCAGAGTTCAGTGAGCTTCAGCTGATGGCTGAGAATCAGGCTGTTCTACAGACGCCTATGGAGACGGACGACAGCAGCCAGCCACATGCAGGTCGGGAGGTGACACACTAATACAGATGCATGTGTTCCCACATTATGGAATCCTTAATGCCTGAGCAACTACACACCGTTTGGTTTATTTAATTTTCCAGCAAGGTGAGGGACCTTTAAAAGCAGGCTATCGTGGGTGTCAATTGAGGTTTATGAAAATCCCTTTATTGATTGGGAAATTCATTCTGTGCATTTAACCCATCCCTTGGGGAGCAGTGGGCTGCCATTGTGTTGCTCCCAGGGAGCAGTGTGGGGGTTAAGGGTTTTGCTCAGGAGCCCAGAGTGGCGCCTGTGGGGATCGAACCGGGTACTTGCAACCGCACTGCTCTAACCATTAGGCCAACATGCTCCATTTATCCACACCACCATGTGATAGCTGGAATATTTTAAGGAATGATAATAATACCATCAGGCATATAAATCCTTCATTTGGTAATTTCTTTAAGCAGAAAGCCGAAGATCAGTGCACTCATTCAGAAGTGGAGATGTAATTCTTTGAAAAATGTGTCAGGGTGGATCAGAAGATGTTCCAGAATAGCCGTGTGGGAATAGATTATCTGCTTCAAATATGTCCTCATTCTCTGGTTGATTTTTTTTCACCTAACTTACTTAACTTCACATGAACTCCACCTGAACACCTGCCAATATGTCCTGATACTTGAAATGAATGTAGCTGCAAAATCTCCAGTAAATAGTAACCAGCTGTTTAAAAACAATGAATAAAATACCTGCTGTGCCACAGGTTAAGCATCAAAATGCTTCTAAAGAGAAAGAGTCACTTAACCATTTATTGATTTATATGTAAATGTTTGTAAAGGAAAATGAGAAAAGATTTAAGTGTTAATCCACGACTCCATGTTTCCTGTGATGAATACGAGTTCCATAAACCACTTTCTATATTAGGAAACAAATCTGAAAATGTCACAGATATAAAACGTTAAAAGAAAGTGAAAAATAAAAGACATGTACGAGGCATGCCTGTTTCTCTAGCTAGAACAGTGAGTAAAATTTTAAGCTAGGCTAATGCCAGAGCTATTATATTTAATATAACTCAATATTTCTACTCAAAATATATCTTTTGTTCTTGTTTATTTTTTGCAGATAAAACTTACATAAAAATAAAACTGCTTTTAAAAAAATAAGCTCATAACTTTTATTATTTTATCATTAAATGTGTCGATTACTAGTTGCCTATTTTTCTGTTAGCACAGCTTGTAAAGCGTGTTGCGAGGGACTCCCGCCAACGCAGTTCCGCCTCTACTATTATAGCTATTGTTAAAATCATGACTTTTTATAGAAATCTAAGACTTGCTAGTTTAATATAATAATGTTTATAGCTTAGAATACAGTTTAGTGAACTTTGTTTATGAAAATGAGCTTTGTTTAATGGTCAAATCACAGGTGGAGGAACCATAACGCAGGCAGAACTGACTCAGGTTGAGGTTCTTGTGGCATTTAAGCCCCTGCTATGGTGTCTAATGTTTTTTTTTTTTCTTTTTGTTTTTCTGTAGTCACTGCTGACGGTGATGGATCCCAGAATGTAGAAGCCGATCTTTCCTGCAGCGGTTTGACTGAACTTGATCTTGGTGCGGATGAAGTTTTCATTGCATCATCAGCTGGCAGCCCAAACCGGCTACCTTTTTATCCTCAGGCTGTAAGAACCTCTCTGATGCAACTTCACCTGTAATAGCAATAACCAGGGTACTTGGCAAAACAATTCAATTCACACGTGAGAAAATAAATATGCATGACTTAAACATTTTTTAATTAATAAAAAAATATATCCAAATATAGCATAATTCAGTATTCAGCTTAAAGGTTTCATTAGAAGTAATTTAGCATGTTATGGTCAGCTTTTCCTATGGAGTTATATTTCTGCCAAAATTGCAAATATGCAATGAATACTCATAAAAGATGTTTTATTTAAAATGTTAGATACATAAGTATATGCTCCTTCGCTGCATTTGTGGTTTGCTTTTTATGCTCCTGTAACTTCTCTTCTAGTCACATTTATATCTCTTTCTGGAGAAAGTAATACCACCTGTGATTGGCTAATTTCAGGAAAGCAAACCACAGATGCAGAGAGAAAGCATGCACTTATGGGTGTGACCTTTTGGGGGGCCTCATGGTTCTGATTCCACATGGGTAAAAATTTCAAAATGTCAGGGACCAAGCAGTCAGGCAAAGGACAAAGGCGTAGAAAAAATGTCATCCATTTATTCTTCCAAAGTGCTAACAAACAAAAAATTGAAAATTCTGGAAAGAAATGGGCCCAAAAGAAGATATCAACTAAGACAAAGGATAACAAACCAGAACTGACCTCTCACAATGAACATGGGGTGTTTAAAAACATAGACTAGCCTACAAACAACAAGGAGGGGAGGGAGAAAACTTCAGACAAACAATAAATAAAGCTGGGCAACTAAGTCAAAACTACAAATAACTACAACAGAAAATGAAAGTAAGACATTCAAACACCAAAATGTATTTTAGAACAGCAGACCTTTGAGGGTTTGACAGATTCTCCAGAGTCAAGTCCCCCATTGTCAGCTGCTTGTTGGTTTCCTTGTGTTCCACCATATTTGCTCCCCCAGCTAGTTCTTTCAACCTCAGCAAAAGAAAAACAGTTAGTGATCTTGAAAAACTTTTCATAGGGTGTTTACTAAATGTGTTCACCCATATTAGCAAACATCCTACAATAAATATGCTGTGTGAAACAAACATTAAAATGCTGACTCTGAAATAGTTAAAGCAACCTCCACAGGTTGTAGTTTACATGCATGTTTTAAATGTAACTGCTTGCATATTTATTACACTACTATAAGTATCTGTTTTTTAACCCTTGCTGAATGAGAGACACAGCATGATACTGCCAGCACCATGTTTCATAGTAGGAATGTTATGTTAAGGGCAACATGCAGTGTTGTTTTTTCTCCCTTTTTCAGGTGGACTCACCTCTAATGGTATTTGCACTTTTGATATTTTTATTATAGGGTTCTAATCTGATGTGATGTAAATGAATTGAGAGGATTTGAATAGATTTGCAAGTCACTGTAGTTAGAAGATGGCATGCTCTTTAAAAGGTTCTCGGTGTACTGTAGGCCAATAGAAAGCATTCTAGGTAATGACAATGAACTTTATGTGTTTTAGTCAAGAGCAAAAAACAGATTTGATCCCAGTGTAGGAAGCATACTGTACTCTTATTTTTTTAACCCTTGATCCCTTTGCCTCTTGTGACACCAGCCCGTTAGCATTGGTTCTTCAATGTGAAATGATGAGAATAGTGCTGAACACTATCTGCTAAAAAGGGGCGTGTTAACCTGAGATGGCATTGCTGTGAATTCCTCACGGTGCTGCCTCAGTTTGCACACTGGTTTAAAGTTTTCTATCTTATTGTATCTTTAATGCTGTTAGGCTGAGAAAAAGTTTACATAATCCCAGCAGGACACACTCAGTCCCTGTTTCTTACCAGTATGTAGAGAAGATCCAAGAACTTCTGAACATCAGAGGCGTCAAAGCACTCACCTTTTTGAATTTCCCCGTAATGTTAAGAAAAACCCGCTATGACTGTACTGCTGAACACAAGGTACAGTATATAAACTATGAGGATATGAATGGGAAATGGGAATAATTAAAAGAGAGGAGGAGCTCCCCCCCTTTCTATTGTGCTCTTTTGGCATAAAACAACTCTGGCAGCTTTTTGAAGGACTGGCAGGCTTTTCTGCAGCCTCGGCTAATGGAGTATTATCTCCAGAGCCAGATTCCCAGCTCAAAGCGTGTGTGTATGTTGCTGTGTTGTGCCGCTGCACGCTTTGACACACAGTGTGTGGTCTGTCTGTGTGTGTCCTCAATACAAGCAACCATGTAAATAATGTTCGGTAAACGGTGGTACATCATTTAGCAGAAGCAATGCTGCAAAACGATCAGTTCATCTACATTTAGTTTACATGTTGATCCAAACTGGATCATTTTGAGTACTCCTGCGGCAAAGCTGACATTTTCTGCTCTCGGTAGTTTGTTACTCACAGTCTAACCATCGTCAGAATGTTCAACAGATTCTATTAATCTGTGCACCGCCCGCCCCGAATTTTCTCCAGCTCAGTCTCTGATTGACTGCAGTAGCTGATCTCTAGCCTCGTGTCAAATGTAAAAGTTGCCATTGTGTTTGCAGGGCTTTACTGAGGAAAAGAAAATTTTAAATAAAGCCCCGGTTAATTCTAGTCTAGACAAAGCTAGCTGCTTCAGACTCCGTGGGAAGGATTATTTCTCTCTGATGGCCGAAAACTCCTAAAACCTCCTTCCTGTTCTGATCAACAGCAGCTGACTGATCAAAAAATGATAAAGTGACCTTTGCACCTTTTCATCTGTTCACTGGATTCTAGTTCCTCCAGGAAAACCATACACTGTAATGTATCACAAATAGATGCTGCAGCCTCTTTAGATTCCTGGGTTTTTAAATCTCAGGACATTATAAGATGATCTATAAGACGAATTCTACACATTCCACTTCATCATTGTTTATTTAAAAAAGCAGGAAGCAAAAATGGGTCCACCTTTTTTAGCAATTTAAAACACTTTCTTTTATCTTGATATGTGTATCATAGTTTTCACATCTCTTTATGCTGTTAGATTTTAAGTTGGTCAGTCTGGATTGTTTCTTGATTCTTTTCATTTTCACATATTCTGTTTTTCCCTTTCTCTTTGATTTTATATTTTCTTAAAAAAAAAAAACACAATAGGCTTTTAAAGTTCTGAGCTTTTATTTTTAGTTGAGCAATTAATAATTAGATTTTTTTATTTTATTTATTTTTGTTGCATGCAGTGGTCGGTACATCCTAAATTGGGCTTCATCCCATTGACTTTGATTATCTTTCTGTCTAGCATTAGGACACAGGTGTCAAAGTGGTTCCAGAAAGGGCCGTGTGGCTGCAGGTTTTCTTTCCAACCAAACAACAATAGCACACCAGATTCCATTCATATCATCAAGTCATCATGTTCAGATTGGACTCCCTTGATGAGATGACGAGTCTGGTGTGCTACTGCTTGGTTGGAAAGAAAACCTGCAGCCACACGGCCCTCTCTGGAACCAGTTTGACACCCCTGCATTAGGAGAATATGTGACAGAGTTCTTTGGTCACCAGTAAAGTACTCAGGAAATGCATAGATCACGAGGATTACAGGATTTTTTCAGAGCAAATTGATGTTTAAAATTCCCTTCAGAACTTTTTTACGATTCTTCCCAGAATGTTATGCCTGTGTGATCCCCCATTTTACCACAGACCCTCCATCATTTATCACTATCTGTAAGAACCTACATGGATTGGCTGAAGGGGAAGTGAAGGTATCTTTATGTTTGCAGAAAGTGTTAAGTATTTTGCTTTTAAATGGTTGGTTAATTGCTATCCAATTCAATTCAATGTATTTATATAGCGCCATTTCACAACGCAAGTCATCTCAAAGCACTTTACAGTTAAACCAGATCTTACAGTCAAATTGATTCAAAGTTTTCTATCTAGGGAAAACAAGTTGATTGCATTGACTTATTGACTTGAATGCAATCCCTCACACTAAGCATGCTTGTAGCGACAGTGGAGAGGAAAAACTCCCTTTTTACAGGAAGAAACCTCCAGCAGAACCAGGCTCAGTGTGAGCGGCCATCTGCCGAGGCCGACTGGGGTTCAAGGAGACCGAAGCAGAGATACAAAAGGCAACTATAGAAGGCAGCCCCGTCCAGGAAACTCACAGCCAGGCAGACGAGCTCCGAGCCAGCTCCCATGTCAGAGGATGAAGAGAGCACATCCAGGCAGTCACAGCCAGAGAAACAGGACTACACTGGAAAACAGGCCGATCCTCAGCATCTATCCACCAGTGATCAGCCCAGGTCTCAAAGGTCTTACTGTATAGTGATGTTGAAAACTCAACATTCCCTCTAATAAATATAGCCATTGACGTTTTATTCGCTTTAATAGTTTCTGATTTAGATTCCATGCTTTCAGTGTGTTTGATACACATACTACCTAATTTAGTTATATCAGGGTTTGCAGGCTAAGAATAGAAACCGACTTGCTTTGTACAATACCGAAGGAGTTTTAAATTTTATTAAGTCCTCGATTTTCATTATGGGAGATTTTAAGAAAAGTGCATGGACAGTGATATAAAAACCGTAGGGCATTCGTCATAATGCTTTCATTTGATCTCATTTCCATTCAGGCAATCAAGTCAAAGTAGATGACAAAAATGGAGACTTTATCAGTGCTCTCATGCTCTCAATATTCAGCTTTCTGCAACAGAAAATGTTCCTCAGCAGAATCACAATGACTTAAACTATACATTTGTGGAACAACTGACATAGCTTTAAAAAATATCTAATATTTCTGAGTAGCTAAACAGAGGTCCTGTCTTTAAACTGGTAGTAAATATTTGGAAAGAATAAGGTGATTGTAAGGAGGCCTTGTAGCCTCTTGGTTGTAATGCTGTGTTTAAATCTGGGCAGTTGCTATGTTCAAAATGTTTCCCTCATAATCACTTCTCTTTTAAATTATCTTTGGATCTTTTTATTAGCAATATGGGCTGTTGCCATGTGTGTTCCCAATAGAAAACCTTGACACTTATCCTATCTGAAGGATGAAACAGCCTCAGTACCGTATCCTGGTG